GTCCAACTTACAGGTCACCGGCACCCTGCCTACCGTAATAAACATACTTGCTGAGTACTTCAATACCTGGTAAGTCTCGGTTGACTCACTACAGTATGGGCGACATACTTGGTATACGCTCCTTACCAATAAAAAACATATATAAGACTAGTAAACGTATAGATAACTTAATAGTTATGGATAAATTAATGAAGATATATATACAATTTAATGATTATAGACAACTTATGCTATGGTAGTAACATGTATAAATAAGTTTATGAGCATACAGTAGTGGACAGCTGGTGATAGTAATGACGTGCCCGGTAGTGTGCAGTACGTGGTGCCCGAGGATGGGCTCTACGGCGTCAGGCTGGACAACGGCAGCTGGTCGGGACTCATGGGTTTATTCAACCGCAGGGTGAGTCCAATAGCTCCTGCTAGGATCTTCAACTGCGTCTCCGTTTAGTACCCAATATGTCCGTGGCAGCAACCTCTTTTGTGTATGTTCTTTACCGGCGATAAAATGGTTGACATTTGCAAAATGGTTTCCTCTGTTACATGTAAAAAACTGGAGTTATTTAGGAAGTCAGTATAGGTTGAACAGGTAGCTTATGAAAGTTATGAGTGTATTTCATTAACATATAAACAGAGAAGTATGATAGTCAGTAACACTGCAAATATTTTTCAAATGTTGTTGGTTATTATCAAGTAACCCATTGAACATATATAATATTAAGTACGGTAAAGAGAATGTTTGGTTTTGCAGGAGGTAGACATCAGCGGGGTTTTCATAAGCATGGACTCACTGAGGCACACTGTGGTAGAGCCCACTGTGCCCCTCTACACCGACTCCCAAATCCTCTTATACGTGAAGCCCAGCAGCCAGGCAGACATCTCTGGGTTCATCAAGCCTTTTACTTCTCTGGTAACTAATTTTGTTTGTTCACACACACACACACACACACACACACACACACACACACCTACTACTTACTTTGCTGTCACTCGGAATCGAGTATGACGATCATCCAGCGAAGATACAATGATATGAGTTATTAAGGATGTCACATTCGTTGATGAGTTTTAAGGTGACTAAAGAGGCCGATACGGGACCGGCAGGGTCGTTCATAGATGTTGCACATGTGGATGGCTACATCTAGTGCGGGAAGGACAGCGGCAGCGTCTTTCCGGCCTTGGCACTTGTCTGCCTCGGTTTAAAGTATGGCTAATTCGAAGGTGTTGACACCTTTTAATGTAGTGCTCCTCCAAGCATTACGGTGTGGAGTAATCTTCTCCCAGGTGAAGGGATCGATTTGGCACTTTTTCAGGTTTGTCTTTAAGACTATCCTTAGACATTTTCAGTTGCCCGCCAACGTTACGTTTACTATTCGTTAGGTGACTGTAAAGTAGCTGCTTTGGCAGTCTACTGTCATCCATGCGGGTAAGAATGCCAGTCCAACGTAGTTGTTAAAGGATAACGGTAGCCTCGATGCTCCTACAGCTGTTGTCAGCGCGAATACTGGCATCTGTTCTCTTGTCTTCACAGTGAACTCGGAGGATGGAAAGTAGACTATAAAGGTGAAAGATTTCAAGTGCCGTGAGGTGCCTCCTGTATGTGACCCATGTCTCGCTGCCATACAGCAGGGTGGGGAGGACCACTGCTCGATATACGTGCAACTTAGTCGATAGTTTCAGCTCCCTACAGCTGAAGACTCGGGTACAGAGTCTGTCAAAGGCTTGAGAAGTACATCTGATCAGATGTTGAATCTCTTCATCGATGTCTACAGTGGTGAACCGAAAGTGGGTAGCAGTAGAGAGGGTAGTACCATTGAGCAGGGATGGATGGTGGAGGAATGGCTAAACCAGGGGCAGAGTTTTAAGAGAATTTGAGTCTTACATACATGCCTTGGGAATCTGGAATGTGGATTAGGTAAAGCACTTTGCTTCCTCGTCTGGGAGCCGGCACTCGCTAATGGCTGCTATGTCGATGTTATACCTAGCCAGCTCTTTTGCCACAGGGACGGTTCTTCTTTCAGGATGCTCATTTATGCCAGTATCCAAAAGAGTTCTGACATTCCTGGCAGCGACCATAAGAGGTTGCATAGTTTGTTTTTCTTTGGGTCTTTGATTATGATTGTGTTTTCGACTACATAAGGATGACCTTACTGGGTGAGCACAGTGGCTCCTCGAAAGGTCTGTCCAGTCGCACAGACAGGACAAGATTGCACTGCTGCCTAGATCCCAGTGCATAAATGACCATCCATCCAGCTTAACGGCACTACCCTCTCCAATGTTACCCACTTTCGGTATCTCGGCTCCCACCTGCCCACCACTGCAGACATCGATGAAGAGAGTGAACATCAGATCAAATGTGCATCTCAAGCCTTTGGTAGACTCCGTACCCGTGTCTTCAACTGTAGGGAGCTGAAATTATCTACAAAGTTGCACATATATCGAGCAGTGGTCCTCCCCACCCTGCTATATGGCAGCAAGGCTTGGGTCACCTAAAGGAGGCACCTCAAGGCACTTGAAAACCATCACCAATGTAGTCTACGTTCCATCCTCCGAGTTCGCTGGGAAGACAAAAGAACAAATGCCAGTATTCTCGCTGACACCAACTGTAGAAGTATTGCGGCTACCATTATCCAAGAACAACTACGCTGGACTGTCCATGTTACCCGCATGGACAGTAGACCGTAACACTTGGAGGAGCATCACACGAGAAGGTGTCAATACCTTCGAGCTATCCCGACTGCATACTGAGGCAGAAAGCGCCAACGCCGGAGACACAGCCGCCGCCCCTCCCACACTTGATGTAGCCTCCACACGTGCAACATCTGTGAACGACCCTGCCGGCCCTGTATCAGCCTCTTTAGTCACTTCAGAACTCACCAATGAAGGTGACATCCATAATAACTCATATCATTGTATCATAGCTGGATGATCGTCATACTTGATTCCGAGTGACAGCAAAGTAGTAGTAGTGGTGTAAATGGTGATGTGTGGTAGGAGTATTACTCGTGTAAATGGTGGTTTGTGGCGGGTGTAGTACACTACAAAAATTGTAGAGTATAAAACAGGTATTTTAGGGGAAAAGGGTACAATTAATTGGGCATTAAAGCCCGTGCGTAACACCATGCGTAAGGGAAATGCAACGGAGGATCCTGTGGTATGGGCAGTGGATTGTGGTACACGACGTACCCCGCCTTACTACCCCACAAACTAGTCATGTTGTGTGGTCATCTCATAGTATGGCCACACTGTCAGGCCCCTCCCCAACCTTCACCCATCTCCCGCGTGCCTCTCGCCTGTATACATTAATACTTGGTGACTTCTCTTTACTATAATGTAACGCAAAATATCAAAATGCACTGATTTTTATCGCGATGATTTTCCAGTCGTGGGTGGCCATACTGGTATCGTTGGTGGTGGTGTTCGTAGCCATGTTGTTGACTCAGGTACTGGAGGGCCACTACCGCGCACCAAACACACACACCAACAATAAGTTGTGAGTGGTACAGTCATCTCACTCACGCTTCTTGTGAGAAGTTTTTGTCAAGTAAAGTTTTAAAAATACATCACAATTGCCTTTTAATCTAAGAAATATGACGTCATGGACATGTTCCTTTTTCATACATATTCCTTTTATACACTAAGTTAGAGGTTTCTTGAATCTTGCAACAGATTATATTTGTTCTCAACTTTCACAAATAAATTCACACCACAAGATCTTTCATGCGTGACTAATATTATAATATAATGCTTAATATAATTTATTCTGCTATGATATGCATTCTGACACGAGTTAAACGTTTTCAAATTACTTCCACATGTTGTGATAGTTTTCGATTCAGCAGAAAGAGCCGCGACGAGATGGCTGATGAGAGGAAAAGTTCAGAAGACCTCGTGTGGACCTCGTGGCTGTGGTCACTGGCGACTTTCCTGGCTCAGTGTAAGTGATGTATCTCTTAGTTACCACGTATACTGCTCATAAAAGTACTCCTAAAACAATTTGACTAAGTTCTTTGCAGTTGTTGATAAAACCAAAATATTGCAAATGACGTAAGCATGAAGAATCAATAGTGGAGTACGGTTGCTGGCTGTGTGTTAAGTAATTATTAGAAATACAGTACGTGCACCCAGTTAGTATTTCAGGAATTCTCTTCACTTGACATCTTGGAAACAAGGCTCTTTGAGGAGTCATTACCCTGCTCAGTCTTTGACTGATTAAGGCAATACCTTCCATAACGAACCTCTCATGTGGTCTGTGAAATCCCACGTAATCCATTTATATTTGTTAGTATAACTCATGAGGGCAACATGTCCCTGAAATATTCGCACTGTTAGCCACGGGACGTGGGCATGTGAGTGTATCAGTAATGTATAATGTAACAGAAAGGCGTGGTGCACCTGACAGCCTCGCCGTGGTTGCCGCGAGGTCCAGGACTGCGGACGGTGGCGGGCATGTGGCTGCTGATATCATTGGTGGTCAGCACGGTCTACAAGTCCAACTTGAAGGCTATGATGATCCTGCCTAAGATGCGCCTCCCCTTCACCAATCTGGAAGAGCTGTTGGAAACGGACATTCTCTGCCACATAGCAGGGTCCACCCTCATGCACCACACCATCATGGTCAGTTACCTCATCACTATACATGAAGAAACTTTTGAATGACTGCAGTTATTAATCTTCATTTTATATTTAAAACTTTAATCACATTTTTTTCGCAATAGTTTACCCACCCACCCACCCACCAAAACCACCACTACTACTTTGCTGTCACTTTGAATCGAGTATGGCGATCATCCAGCTATAATGCTATGATATTAGTTATTGAGGATGTCACCTTCGTTGCTGAGCTCTGAAGTGACTTGGGAGGGCGATAGGGGACCAGCAGGGCCGTCCA